GCATCTATTTCACTTTGGACAGACCAAGGTTAAAAATCCAAATGTTCCTTCCCTAATTCAAATCCTTGGGTTCTTGCTGCAGCCACCAGTAGCTCTGGTTCCACATTTTTCAGCTACTCCTTTCAGCTACAATGAATAACTCTGCATTCTATCAACAGGTTTTGATACCACCAACGGAGATGTGTGGATTGCCTAGCCAAGCACAGGTAACAGGCTACCAGTACCAGTGAGAACACAAACAGCTTTTTGATGCCCTCAAATACTCATCAGAACAAAATTCAACTCCTCAAAATTCAAATGCACCTGAGATTTCAGTTGAACAGGATACATTCTGGAAATCGCCTGAGGTTAGAAGATGAAAGGTCCTGCATCTGTTGCCAGTCTGTATATATTTTGTGCATGCAATTTTTTTACCTTAAAAAATTATTTTCACAGTAATCCCTAATTTCTTAGCAAGGTGATGTGAATAGCTTTACCTTATTTGCCTGTAAATGTATTGATTTACATATATTCATAAATATGCATGCATATTAAATATAGTACATTATTTACCTAAACGAGTTTCTAGGTCTACCAAATAATTTTCAATTAAAGGTACACATTCCTTCTGGAAGCAAAATGCCCTTTTTGGGACATAATCTGATTTCTGTGCAGAGCACTCATTATCAGGAAGTCCTTCTGAAGATCCTTGCTCTGTGGTACCATAGCATTTGTCCAGGCTAGGTTTGCATCTTTGTATTCCTTTGCCTCATATTCATTAAACCCCACCATATCTGGTACCTCCCACTATTGCTTCCTTTCTAGGAGCATTTGCCACAGAGGAGCAACACCAACCATACATAAGCTTAGTCCTGAAGTGCATCTAGAAAACTCTAGGACAGGTCTCTCACAATCACTAATGAAAGCGGTCATTTAGACAGTGTCCCCTAACGATCCCTTATTTGTTTAACACACATTATCCCCTACTTCTCCTCATGGGACACCACTGATGCCCCCACTCCCTCTGGAGAAGGGCCATGGCTGGCATGATCGCAGCTCATGGTGCAGGAACCGAGGGGGCACAGCCTGACAGAGTTTACTTTTAACTGCTTCTATCAAGTACAGCATTTGAAACTACCTCAGACTCATAAAATTTATGAGTACAAAATGGTGCCTTAGCTTGCTTTGGCTCTTGTATAGATGAGAAAAATGTTACATTTCTGAAGTGTGATCAAATAGGTTCTCACTCCTCTCTGCATGTAACAATGCAGGGTACACAGAGGCCCAGAAAGTGGGTGTTACAAACAGGAGCAACTTCGCTGAACATTGCCAAGAGTGGCAATTTCATGAACTGAAAAGCCTGAGGGATCAATCCACTGTTACAGAAAATGGGAATACGAAACAGGTAAATTATATGTCTGGTTCCAGACATTATCTCTGGAGGATACTGGATTATTTCCATCCACAGCAGATGCATAAATCATCAAAAGTTAAAGTACTGGAAAATTGCTAACCCATCCAGTCACTTTAATGTGTTCTGCCCTGCTTTGAACAAGGCTGCAGATCTGAGAGCACATCTCTCTGTGGCTTTCTCCGGTTTAACAAGTTTAGCAAAAAATACATTCTTGTAATTGATTTTTACCATGGGAAAAATAAAAATCTCTGCACAGCAAAGCTAGGGCAAAACTAAAATTGAGAAATTCTGATCACTTTTAAAGGAGCACAAGTTCTGCAGAGTACAGTTGGTTATTACTTGGGTGTTAACAATTTTGTACTGAGATTTCCTTGGCTAAGGTATTTACTTTATTTAACTTGCACAGAGGTCAGTCTCAGAGAACAGCACTAAGCCAAAATCCACCTCTTTCAGAAAACAGCTAAAACACTTCCAAGAAGGTTGTTAATTGGATCAGTTCCCAACTTTAAGACCATGAAAAGTCATTCAACTAAAAGCTACGGTTCAGTTAATTATCATCACCTTTTTTTTCCTTCTTTGCAGTGCTTTGGATAATCTGTCAGGAGAAAGATTAGGAAAAGTTATTACTTGACAGTAACTTCTTGATGGCAATTAAATGAACTCCAAATTCACAGGAGAAGAAATACACAGATTTTAAAAAAAGCTTTTGCTCTCTGAAGTATCCTTTTCTGAAACTTTGGTATTTTGAATTTCATTATACTAAGTTAAAATTCAGTTCTTGGTATCAACCTGCCGCCTGTGTTAGATGAAAAAATCCTTGCAGAACTACCTGTAAGAGCCAGAGGAAGAAGTGAGAGCATGTGTGACACAAGGCAAATCCTATGGAACATCCTCAGCAGACCAAGGACCTCTTCCTGGGCATAAATTTCTCAGGAGGGCTTTGTGAGAGGTGAATGATAGCAGAGCAACTCCTTGCTTTCCAGGAGTGAAAATAAAGGTCATCTCTATACCATCATAGGGGAAGCACTAAAGCCATGCCTTCCATTGACACCAGAAACACAATCCATGCATTTTTTATGACTTTGGCAATCTGGGAAGGTAAACAGGAGAGGAACCCACTGCCCATGTTAGAATTCTTACCCTGAAGTGACAGAACTTGAACACAGGAAATACTTGGTTTCTGTTGGCATGATGTAATTCCTTTGACAAAGAAAGGATGGTAAAGTCAGAAAGTCTCATCAATAGCACTCAAGCACATATAAACAGACCCATACCATGCACAATTCACCACAGGAAAGAAAAGATTCTCACACAGGAAAAATAATTACATGGTGTATCTCAAACTTGTGGGATGAAACACATGACAAAGTCCAAACAAACCAATGTTTAGAACATGCCTGAGGACATGATATATGGAAAGGCTGTGGGAACGGAGGCTGCCAGTTTAAGCCAAAGACAGACACATCTGTCTTGTAAAATTAAATACTGCAATAAAAGGGTTAATCATTAAAGCCTTTTACCTCATTAGAAAACAGATATTTTATTCAGCACCACTTACTGAACAACATTTATTTGTAATACAGGAGAAATGCTGCCAAGGGTGACACCACCAGGAGACATTTGAAGACATCAGATACACAGCAGAGTATTCTTTTAGTTCCTTTACATACCACATACCATCAATCTAGAATGTCTGGTGCTCAGCATATGATGTTAATGTTGGCATTCATTCCAATGGATGGATGACTGACCAGTCACTGCAGGCTCAAACAGACATCATGATGAGGTTTATTTTTACCTGTAAACATTGCCCACAGCACCTGTCAGCACAACTATAGAACTGAACACAGAAGTGGAAAGTGTTCATGAAAACAAGAAATTGAAGCTGCCTTTACACATATTCCCTACCCTCTTCCCTGAATGAAGGTTTTCCACATAGCAAGAAAGTTGCCTTGGACCAGGTGGCACTTCAGTTAAAGGATGACACTGAACCATCAGCAAGATTTGACAGGCTAGAGGCCAGGTAGGGGATCATGTATCCTCAAGAGTATTATGAACTCAAGAGGTACAGAACTGATACAGAATCTGTGCAACACCCAAAGCAACACTCTGCCTTTCCGTATTATGAGCGGATTCCAAAAAAGAAACAAATAAAAAACCCCAAACACAAAAAGCAGAACCCCAAAACCCCAACCTATAACAAAGGGGGAACAGCTGTTGAAATGAAGAATTTCATGCCAACAAGAATAATTTACAGCAAAGAATATAGAAATCATTCACCAAATAAGCCCTTTGCCAAAATAACATTAATTTCATACCATACAAAACAAATGAACACAGATTACTAACTACTGCCAAAATTAAGGCCAGATATTAAAAAAGTGAGTAATTTGCTATGACCAGTCGAAATGTGAGAGCTCTTAGTGAAATAATGGGAACTTTGTTGGAGATGCCTGATGAACTACGGAGGTGCTAACAAGTAAAGTCAGGCATTGTGACATGTTGGAAAAAAGGTATTGCCAAAAATTCAACCTGGCTTACTGAGAAGATAAACTGAAAAGGCAAATAAAAAGAAATGTAAGTAATATTTACAGTGTGAAAAGATTGTCATCTTCTCTTCCACTGTATCAGTCTAATGCATTTAGTCTCCTTGTGAACTCAGAAGGGGGACATATCACAGTTAAAAGTGGCTCTTCCTCCCTTTAATTCATCCACAGCATCCTCCCATTAAACAGTACACTGTGTAGGATGAAGAAAAGTTACTTAAAAAAGAGAAGAAGGAGGAGGTGGTGGGGAAAGTTACTTTACGCAAATGAAGTTTAAAGTATTTTGAATTATTAGAATGAAATTAAAATGCTATTTTAGAACTCAATATTGAAAAAAAAATAAAGACACTGCAGTTATTTTCAAACATTCTTGACAGCAGACTTTTAAACCAGGGGCTTTGATCTGAGAGAGACTTGACAAAATAGTGACAGAGAAAGTAAAAGTGAGGCAGTGGACTGACAAGGAAGGCTTTCATTGGACTGCTTGAGGAAATAGGATTATAACCTGTTTTACCTGCCCTCCTCCCTGGTACTGAATGCTGATCTGACACTTTAATCCTGAAATGAAGTTTCCCCTTCCTGTTACAGGAAATGTTTTGAAGTATAACCTGGTTTTCTGGCACTCTGAGGTCCAGGTGTGCAATGAACATTGTCTGGGAGCCCCACAGCAGGGAACACTCTCTCCTGGCTGCTGACCAACACCAAAGGCTGCCCTGGCCGTTCAGCCTTGGCAGCCTGAATTCCTAGCTCCACACCAGGGGACAAATGTAACAACCAAGTCAACTCCACACATTCCTTCGAGCCTGAAATGCAGAGTAAACAGATAAACACACTACAGCAATTAAGACTAGGAAGACTGTAAAATACAGCTAAAGAGAAGAGCTTGAAGTTGCTTATATAAGCACATCCAACTTGATGGGATAACTTTTAACAAAATCTTACATAGACATTGCAGCAAGACAATTTTGAAGAGCTGTTTAACTGAGTTGTCTCTGAAGTCCCAGAGAAGATAATCCAGAAGATAATCCATTTTTGAGTACTACAAAGTTTACACAAGAGTGTTTAAAGATTAAAAATATTTTATTTACACTTTTCTTTATACACATTTTATACATTTTTTTCAGCTTGAAACCCAAACAAAGCACATATGCAAGTCTGAGCATACTGTATCCATAGCAAGGGAAAATTACACTCTGCCCAAAAAAAAAAAAAAAAAAAAAAAAGACAAGAAAAAACGCTTTAAAACAGTTAAAAAGAGGCAATTCTTAAATTATTTAGATAAGTTTATAGCAGTTCTAGGGTAATCATTAGACAGGTAATCCAAATTTATATATGAGGACATATACATATCATTTTGATCTTCTATAGGAAAAGTATTTCCAATAGCTAGACACAAACACAGTACAGTTTGAAAATAACTTTTCCTGTTAACTTATCAAATACATTCTTTTCAATACAAACAATCTGATATTGTACACTGGAATTATGGGATATTATAGTGGAATTGCAACCTCCAGCATATAATAATTTATTTTAGAAAGATCTACAAAAATAACAATATATAGGGAAAAATATTTAACATAAAAACATAATTCACTCTTCCCTTCACCTGCTCCAACATGACATAAAAGTTAGGTGGATCCCACTGAGGTAATAAAAGCCCCCCTAAATACAGCTAACTTTACAGTCCTACAGAGCACTTCATTTCCTATACTTACAGTAAGATTTTTCTACCAGAGCCATAAATAAAAACTATCTGCAAATAGAAATTATTTTCCCCTAGCTACCAACTTAATATTAATCCAAAGGTATTTAAAATTGATTTTCAAAAGCTATTTTTTAAAGACTACATAAATTGAACTTAGAGAAGTGTAAAAAAATTAGTAGAGGGACACACAGGAAAGCTGTGCTCAAAGCAAATTAGTTTTTCCGCCACCTGCCACATCCAACTATGTTTTATGAAGTTTACCCACACAAAATGGAAATTTTCAAGTTACTCACCAACTTTCAAAAATAGAATACAGATGCAAAAGTAGTCATTAGCATTTATTTTAAGCAGCTTTTAGTTGTTTAACAAACATGAAAATCTCAGAATGTTAGCTACAGGACACCAGCAAGCTCTGTTTAAATAATGATGTATTTTCCAGTTATGTTCTTTCCCACTCTCCTTCAGTAAACCTTGCCACATGTGACAGATGCTTTTTCAAGTAACTTCACCACCTATATATATATATTTATTAGCAGGAGAGCAGGAGGGATGTTTTCTTTGATGACCCCAACCCTATAAACCCTTAAGCACAGGCTTAGTAACACATGTGCTTACATGTTTTCCTTGAAGTTTGAACAGAAACCTTAGAGTTTTCTGTTTCTTTGTATTGGACTATTCACATATGTGAAGTCCACACCTGAAGTGTTCAAAGTATCTGGGGCTCAATTCACTACTTATTTTTTTTAAGAAAAAGTATATTAAAAAGGCAGAATACCTCTACAAATGTGACTACTTCTAAAAAGACTTTGACATATGCAGGCTGACACAAACTACAAGTTTATTTTAAAGAACTGTTAAGTGTCTCCCTTTGCTAAATAATGGACATAACGACTTAAGTAATGGGGCTTTTTATATCAGTTTGAATTTGCACCTGCTGAATTTTATCTTTGTTTCCTGAGTGTCAAGTGAAGCTTCATCCCTGACACAAGCAGTTACCATATTATCAGCATGAGGAAATGCAGCATGGGATTCTAAGGCAGGAGGGCCTCAAGAATCAATAGCTGCAAAGCTCAGGAACCAGGGAAATATTACAGTCAAACCCTCAGAGCTAGTTCTAACAGGACTGCTATCATACTGCAGGAAGTAGGGCATCCACATTTTTCAAAAGAAAGTAACATTAAAGCAGGTTGCCAGATAGCTCATATGCTGCCACTTGCTAGCAGTGCTTTCTGAAACAGCAGGACCTCTGTAAAACCAAGGTCTGCCTTCTTTCAGCTGAATTCATGGGGAAAAAATACCTAAGGTTTCTTTCTGCCAGCTGATTGGTGATTCCACTGCCTCTCACAATGAAACTACCAACACTTTGTGGCAGAAAGTGAGCTATTTTTTCCTTATGCAGTACTTATAAAAAAAAAAATCTGCCCCCTAAAACCAGACCTAGGAGCATGTGAAATGGGAACTGGCAGTATCCAGTCCCTTTACAGGAACACTGTGCTTTTTGTCCATTATCTCGTTTGAAAAGAATATTTCTTCCTGAAGTTGGTTGCTAAATTAGGAAATGAAGCTGATACATTTTTTCTATAGATGTGAAAAAAAAAAAAAAAAACAAACCTAGACTGCAACTCACTATGTCCACCTTTCTAAAAAAGGAAAGTACATTTGCTTTTCAAAGCAAGTCATATGTTGAATTTTAAATATGTGGGTGACATTAGATTTGCTGGTATTCCATTATGGGATGGGAATAGGAGAACCTCCCCAAATCTAATAATCAAAGATCATAACTTAGCTACTCCTTGACAAATGAGAGGCATTTAAATATTTTTTAAAACCTATCTTAATCTGACCATAATGCTCAAGGCAATTCTTATTAGCCATCTTAGGTTTGTTCCTATTAAGGTACTAAATTATCTGGAGCTAAATACGAAGAGCAAACATTAAAAAAAAATCAATTAAAAACCCCTCCAAGTAACCAAAGCAACTGTCTCAAAAGTTCCATTATAGTATAAAGGAGAAGAGAAGCTAATTTTTCTATTTCAGGTCTGAAACAATGAAAGCATGGTAGATATGTAAATTGACAAAACGTTCTCACATATCCCCACCATTTTAATCCCAAGCAAATTCGAACCATCCCTAATGCTGGAAAGGTTACAGCCAGCCTCTCAATGGAGACATAGCTTCAGGGAAGCTGAAACCAACAGTTCAATTATAATTTCACAGAACAATTACTACTACAATCCTGAACAAGATCTTTCAGAACTGGGCACCTGAAGGTAAACATGAGCTTAAAAGCAGAGCACCAAAACCCATCTGGCTCTTCATTTTTCAAGTGTCAGCACTCACCAATTACTTTAGTGGCAGTTGCTGAGTGCACAGAGCTTCAGAAGGTGCTTAAATGCAGACTCAAAAATGGAACTTGAGAAACCCCTATCCTTACCATTAGCTCTAATAAAGTCTTGGCCATGTCTCTAAGACATCTGACTCCTGAATACCAGATATCCAGAGCCAGGGCTGCTCTCTACACTGGCCCCACAGAAAGTGAAGTACTCTACTCTATGTAACGTGCCCTTGACAGCTGCCTCACATTGGAATAGCTTGCTGCCCCATTAAGAAATGAGCTGGTGACAAAAAAAACCAAAAACCAAAACAAACAAAAACACCAAACAAACCAACAAAAAAAAAATCCAACTTGGTTTTTTTTTTGTTTTTTTTGGTTTTTTTTTTTTTTCTCTTGTGCCCCAATATTCCATGAACTAAGTACAGTCAGCACACAGCCAGCACCCACCAGTCAGTTTCTCTCTCCCCATGTAGGGTGATGTACACACGTCTCACAGTGAAACTGAGGTTTTAGTGTAAGCCATATTTTTTTTAAGTTAGGCTGTCAAGAAAGTAAATTAGATTTCCAATTCAGTAAACTGAATTCTTATTAAAAAAGACAAATCTAGCTGCAAACTAGTCTGCATCAGAAGGCTGAATATCAGTATTTGGTCCAGTCCCTTCTGGTGTAAATAACTTATCACTACAGCTATGATGGCAAACATTCCCTCTTTCTTTTAAAACATATGAAGATACTCTATTAATAAATCATTTCTAACAATAAACAAACCCTAAAAAGTCTGCTGACTTGCCATATAGCTCCAAATACCCACATTTCAACCCAGAACATAATTCCTACAAAGATACAGGAACACAATATGAGAAGTTTTACTCATTGTTTTAACTTCTATTATTTGAAACTTCATTTACACAAGTAGATGCTATTTTTAACATAGAAAATTTAGGGTGATTTTGGTCCCTTTGTAAGTGCATTCTTTTGAACTCCCTGAGTACTGTACATTCCTTTTCTACAGTGAATTCTGACTGGAAGATGCTGAATAAAGTGGTTTTGCATTGCTGCAGATAAAGTAAACACAACAGCATAAGATTTTACAAAATATGCAGCTCATGTTTCAGCATCTGAGCTATGTGCGAGCCTTCACTTTCACCAGATCTCTCCTTTGGGTTCTAGAAGTGGAGAACTTATATCCACAAAGATAGTCCAAATGCAGTTACTGTTATTATTTATGTCTTGGCAGATAATTCTTATCAATCTACTGTCATTTATACCTGCAAGTTAACACACTGGAATAGTCAAAGCCCTCTTGGACCAGCCATCTCTATTCAGGCACTCCAAGATCAGTAGCCATAGTTGTGTAGGTTCTTATAAAACAAACAGAAATTATACTAACAAACCAATCACCTAACTCCACATTTTCCAAACACAGTAGTTCTTAATAGTTAATAATTAAATACTAACAATAATAAAAATATCATACCACTTCAATATGAGTACTCATATTGAAGTGTGAGTATAATAAAGTATTGACAATGAAGTGTGGCATATCCAGTATCTAGTTCCAAAAATAACTGTGGGTCACAGCAGTGCTGAGCATTTGCTTATTGACGTTTTCAATTTCAACGAAAAAAGAAAACTGGGCAGCACACTGAAACCAAAAAGAAACTCAGGTTAAATGAGTTTACTTAAAAAAAAAAAATTTATGAAATAACAAATAACCAACAGTTCATTATGTAGCAACAATATAAAGAGTTTAAGTTTACTGGATCAATCCGTATATACTAAAGATACTTTGATACCAAATGAGGCCTCCAGTTTCACTTAAGAACTTTGAACTATTTAGCTCATGAAAGAATACCCTAAATTCAACAGATATGGCTGAATCTGTGCACTAGTTAAAATATAATATTGTAACTGCACATAAAAAGATGCATTTATATACAGTTTTTACAGTGTATGCACATGTGTGTATACGTTTTTTTACTCACCAACAAACACAACACAGACAATAGAAGGCAGCATAGAAATAGTGTTTTGAATATAAAAATGCTTTGTTTTCAATTTAGTAGAAAATGTGTAATTTGCATTTTGGCAGACTTACTCGTACAACTATACAAAACCAAGAGAAGGGTCATGCAAAAGGTTTAAAATTCTTTTCCAAAGTAAATAAGGGAAAACAAAAACACCTAGTAGATTTGACAGTACTTTGCAGTTAATAGGAAAAGCATCTAAAAGACAACACAAAATACAGAAATGGTTGGCTTGTTACTTTATACCTGTTTGCACCCAAGTACAGGTGATGAGCTGTATTTTGATGCTCAATAAAAAATGAAAATAACACCTTTCTTCTCTTCCTTTCACAAATATTTTGTCAAACTCAACTTATTTCAAAAGCATAGTGGAATAATGGCCATTAAAAAATCAGAACACACTGTGGACATAAAATGTTACCAAAAAAAGCAGACTCAAAAATATATTTTTTTTCTCATACTTACAATTACATTTATTAAAAAAAAAAAAAAAAAAACAACAAAAGCTTTCACAAGGTCAGACCAACTATCACCTTTCCTAATGAACTTGGTAAGTACACTCCCTGTACATCCTGTTTCTCTTGAGCGTTGAACCATTGTTCTTACACACAAGGAAATGTCTCTGCAGGAACTGGTTTGTAATTTTTTTCAACAAATTAGTATAGCTCTTTTGTATTTGACTGGGTTGTTCATTCTGTTTTAGCTGCAACGTCTAACATGCTCCAAAACATACTCAGGGAAGTGCAGGCTGCAGACCTGCAAGCCATCCAGCTTGCACGGCATCCTTGGATATTCATCTTCTTTCCATTTGTTTTCCTCTGGATCAAAAGTGAGAATTGAATCACTGTAATGACCATTGTAACAAAGGCCTCCAAGAACCATTATCTGTTTGTCCAGAACAGCTACGCCATGACCACTCCTACCTATTGGCATAGAAGCCAATATAGTCCATTGATCAGTATCGGGGTCATAAACCTCTGTAGATGGACATCCTTGAGATTCAAAGGAAGCTCTCAAGATCACACAGACACCACCAAAGACATAAAGCTTACCATTGTAAGAAATCATTTTGTGAAAGCATCTGGCATAATTCATTTTGCATTTGTTCTCCCAACAGTTAGTGACCACTTGAGTTCTCCGTGTTCGCTGCTCTACTGTCCCTTCTTTACTGGGATCAAACACACACACTTGCTTAGAAGTTGAAGATGATGTAATTCCACCAGTGATATACAACTTGTTACCAAGCACAGTCCCTTCATGTCCGTACTTATTGACTGGATAGGGATCCACAAATTCCCATTTATCTTCAGTAATATCATACCGTTCAGTGGAGTAAAACGTTTCATCCCTGGTTCTCCCAGCCACTGCATAAACATACCGGCCAATCACTCCAACAGCAAACTCAGAACGTGGCACAGACATGTCTGCCATTCGTAACCAAGTGTTCTGTCTTGGGTCATATCTAAACACTTTGGATGAAGCATGGAACTCACCATCTGGCCCCAGTTCTTCCCCACCTAATAAGAACACGAAGTTATTCACAATGGCAAGGCAGTCTGGTCGTAAAGGTACTTGAGGACCCTCTAGTTCCCACCAGACCCTCGGTTTGTGCAAGAGAAGAATTTTACTGTTTACCATACTGTGTCCTATCATTCCTCTAAATACTGCAGTCTGGGGTTTGGCAGAACGAATTTTGTTCGATTTCATTTCCATCAAAGGCTGTTGGTGAACGCTATGAAAGTAATTCATGGCTTGCTCAACCTCATGTCGCAGCTGCCGGGAGTATCGATAAAACTCTGATGTTTTTACCTATGAATACATTTAAAAGATATTAAAATTCTGACCGAGAGAAACAATCCAGAAAATCTAAATCGCTATATGTCATTAGAAGATTATTTTACTTTGTTTCATTCAGGCAATCTTGAGAGCAATTGCATTTATGCATGAAGTTTTAAACTGATGTATTGTTATCCAAAATCCAGAAGGCAATTTAGTGATTAAGAGCAGTGACTAACATTTTCAGCAGAATAATCACATGCAGAATTTATGCTGGAATTAGGCACAACTGAAATCCCCAGGTCCAAGTATCATTATTCCTTCTCCTGAAAACAGCTTCTGTTCATCTTCTGCTTAATCAATAAAGTACCCAAATTAAAAATTCCATCTTTTCCTGGGTTCCCAAGACACTCTACACACCCATTCTGTGATTACTAAGGCCTACTCTGCTTTTTTTATGAATTCTCACAAATGAAGCCTGAGCTCTCAATGCTAGGCTATGCTCACAGGGCTATTTAATTTCCTTGGGGTGGGAAGGGAAGGTACCTAACCACCTTCCTGCAGAATATGTGCTTGCACCAACCACTCATCATGATGATGGCCTTAGGGCTTCCCCTCTGTGAGTCTCCACGTTAACACATGCCTTCAAGAAGGAAACATCTCCACCTATAATCCTTTGGTTGTGCATTTCTTTGGCAAATTGCAGAGGTAGGTTTGAACTTCCACTTCCCAGGTGAGAGTTACAACCTAAAAGCCATCCCTCTTCAGTTTTATTGGAGTTGCTGGCACAGGGGAAAATAAGAATTCCTTCAATTCACTTGAAGCCAATTCAAGTGCCTGAGGCTGGTCCTGAGACCATTTCAAAACACATTCCTGTCTTGAACATTTTAATTAATCTAGCTCAAGGCAGTCCTCAGCTCACCATGGGAATCTCTTCAGAGGTGCACCCTTCCTGGACAGTCTGGTGTAACACAGCATTCTGAATCACACTTCTAAAACAAATCAAAACCTGCTAGATGTTGCCAAATCCACAAACCCTCCATCAGATTTGATCCTAAATCCCAATTTCTTTCATATAAAATTGGATTGCTTTCAAACAGCCCAAAAGCCTTTAGTATACAGCAGCTCCAAATAAGATGCAATGCTCTGAAAAAAAAAAATCAGAGGCCACTCTGAAATTTCAAGTGATCACAAGGTAATACCAGGAGCAACTATTTTTAAGTATCTTTTACCCCACCTCCTCCTATCCTCTGTCCCAAAGAACAAATGCCTCAGGGGGGATGGTATGAATTTTGACATAGATGGAAAGCAATCTGGAAATTAATGTTCTTTATACCTAGTGAATAAAGTAGCTGCTTGTTCCATAAACACATACCATTAAAATTTTGTTAGCCATCTGGTAATCGTATCTTCCTTGTGTAGTAATTAAGATGTTCTGCTGTCTAAGAAGGAGATTGTTTTAAAAAATCTTTTGAGCTGCTATTATTGAACACAATTTTCACACTTTTTGAGACAGTTCGAAACACCAGATTTCAAAAAGAAAACTGAATATTAACCTACTATTGCAAAGCAATATATTGCTCAAGAGTTAGAGTGACTTGGTGTTATTTACACTTTTTCTTTCCTCCACTTTAATTTTGACAAGTTCAACTTGTCTTTGTTTGGAAAAAAGGAGGTTGGTCACATGCAGATCATGTATATTATTCCTGAAGCAATGTCCAGCCTCTGTCTACTGTTTTTACCAGAAGTGATTTTGGAGCAAAAAGGTGTATTCAGGTATGGTACTTACAGAAAACCCACAGTAAGCCCAACTCTTCTGGGAGCAACAGCTCTATTTTCTTGTTGCAAATAACTAATATATCAAGCAAAGACAGATTTGCTCATATAGTATTTGTTAGAATAAACCATATACCTTGCCTGACTGAAAAGACTGAACATAAATTACAGAAAATATGCTGGCAGGGAGAACCACAGCACACAAAAATGGTAACAGATAAAGGTTAAAAAAAATGAAAAAGGAAGTTAAAATAACTTAACAGAGAATTGTGGCTGGGCTACTTTACCCTTAAAAGGAACTTTCAAATTCTAAACCAGCAGGACTACTTCAGGTATTTCCAAACTGGAGCTATCCTCTTTGGAGTTAAATAAAAACATAAATTATCTTTTTTCCACCTATATGCAGTTCAGGTTTTCTTAGACAATTATGGAAGAGAACAGGATCAACATGCTTACAATGTGAAGCATATCAGTAAAGACTGGCAGAGATGGAAATTTTTTTCTTTCTCCCTCAGCATTTATAACTCTGTTATTAGATCTAGAAATTGGAATGCCAGCCAGAAACTGGAATTAAAATAAGCCTACAACCTCATCACTGTACTCCTCCACATAGCCTGAATCTCAACCCATGAGAGCATGCCAAAGGAAACAAGGAGTATCTCTAATTCCAGAGAGAGACCCTCAAGACAAGAGAATCAAACAATTTGTTTACTACTGCTTATCTTGACAAAGGCACTCATGTCAAAGCAAAGCCTCAAGCTCTTACCTTAAATGAAAGAGACATGATGGAGCAAATGCAACTCCCAGTTATTAACACCCCTCTGTGACTGAAGATCACGGGGAAGCTTCGACAAGCACAAGTTTGAAGAGCTGAACATGAAAATACACAAGCACTAGCAATTCTTACAATATGCAGAAAAAAAAGAAAAATCCCACAAAACAAGAGTGATCACTTCTGGTAAGAAAAGGTAGCTGGAGCATTCCTAGACTTGGCTGTCAAGGAAAAATATCCCTGGTTTTAGCCATCCACCTTTCACCAGCATAACCAATGCCATACAGGAGTAGTACCTCTCCTGAGGCTCAAATGATCCCTAAGATGAATGTTAGGATATGCCTATAGGAAAGTAGAGACTGCTCACTTGCTTAATGCAAATGAAAACAAAGAAAATGTAGGTCATTTGACCCACTTTCAGTCACACACTATGAAATATTCCAGAAATATTTGAAAGCCCTGTTCAGCCCCTAGTAAGAAAAACCCTCTGCCTACACTTTCAAATAATTTAACAGTAATTTTCATGACTTGTGTATACAATCAAAAAAACATTAAAGAAGCATTAAAATTTAGGTATTTTGGTATTTAAAACAACTGTGAATGTTGTTGTGAATGTCAGCAGATGAAAGCCCATGGCCTTCTGCAGGAACTTCTATCTGACACCCCAACATGCAGAAGGAAAGCCTTCAGCTTTCAAAAGTAGGCTCTGCCACTACCTGTAAGTAGCAACAAGAAGTTAATCAGCAAATATCAAAGTGCTTATCAACAGACCAATTTTCCTGTTAAGTTCAAATGGAGAAGCTCTGGAAGGAATGTGTCCATAATTACCAACACTCCAACAGAACATACAGACTTTGGCAAAACAGGTGGAAATGTACAGCAATTGTCAGGAACCCTGAAGTAAAACAAATGTGCATTCCTTAAGAGTACATCACTCTGAATTGATAAAAATAAATATATAAATGCTTCAAAGCATTTTTGAAGTTTTTCTTTAAACTGTTCTGTTATCTTCCTGAAGGGTCTCAAAGGCATTTTAAGTTGGACTTCCTTATCAACCCCAGTCACACCATCAAAAAAGGAATTTAATCCAAGTGCTAAAGTTTTGCTCACGTGATTTTCTTTACATTCTTTCCAATTATTTCTTTAATTCTCTGGAGAAAACCCCCTTAAAGAAGTTATGCTGGGACACAGCCTAATGTAAGAGTTTCCACAAGATCTCCGGAGATGGAGAATGGGAACTATCTCAGTGCATGAACTACCAGTGGTTCACAGTCAGTTTTTCTGCTACACAAACTGAGAACAGCATAAACAAAATAAAATGTGTTATTCCAAAATAAAAGATGTAAAAATAATTAAAAATCTCTACTTGCCCTCCATCCCTCTACTTGCCTCCTGGGGCATCCTTCCAGTCACAGTAAATTTGAACTTTAATGCATTTCCTCTTCTTCATTTTAAACCAGTGAAACACTCCATAAAAGTGCTGTATTTCCAAGTTAATGCAGTGATTAATCATTGGCTTTTTTCTGCTGTATTGAATGCATGCTTTTCTAGTTGTAGCAGCTATGGAAGTCTCCGAATCTTCCATTTATATTATATGAAGAAGTAAAACAAAAAATTAAGCCATTGCTTTCTAATTTGAAAAGTTATCCCCACAAAAGATCAGCTGTGTCCCACATTATGTTCATCAGCTTTTCTCCTCCCCAAAACCAATTATGCTATTAATAAGCTGCAGGAAGAGCAATGAAATGCAAGGTAAATGTTCTGTAACACGTTTGACTTCAGGATACAGACTTTTAAAAAAAAATTTCCTCATACGACCATTTACAGCCACTGCTCTATTTGTATTCTTGTTACTTAGGTTTATAAGAAAAAGCTTTCAAAATCAGAAAGAAAAGCTTCTTTTGAACTGCCCAAATGAAACAGCTATTATTTGTGCACCTGGTAACTAAATTTTAGTATGTTATTATATGGGGTGGCTATTAACTTGCTTCCTTCTGTACAACTGGTAAAAAAAATGTAGACAAAAACAAAAGCACAGAAAAATCTCAATGGCTCATAATGTCACTTTATCATCTCTATTCATGTAAACAGAGAATTGTTTTAAAGATTCCAACTTATTGTGCTTATGTTTTCTAAGCCTGCCAATTCTGCATGTGATTCAACTCAAACTCATCTACTAGGAGTAGAGAAGCAATGCTCCACCTTTCCAATGAACAACAATGGCATCAGTATCACATTTCTAAAGACCAAATTCTTACTTGAAACAAAACCCCAACCTTATTTTACTAGAGATTAACCTGAATCAAAACTAAAGATCCATCAACTCCACTAACAAGAATCCTTATTATTTTCACATCTACTGATCTCTGGCCATATTCTAATCACAATTATAAGCTGGTATGAGTACTGCTCAGTACCACTGAAGGGCTACTCTGTAAGAATAGAAATCACTTAAGTGTTTTCAGCCTAACCATAGAAAGGCACAGCCTCTGTGCAGCAGGGACAATGCCCTCAAATTGATTACTCAGCTGTTCCTTTTTAGAAGCTGGAAAAAGAAATTGTCAAAATCAAGCTGGAGTCTAACTCAATCTAACCTCTCAAATCAGAGTGGAGTCAACAATCCATATGCCACAATTAAGAAGCTCTGCATGTAATAAATACTGCTAGCAAATCTATTCACATCAACAGTAATCTTAACACCCAAAAATATTGAGCACAGCACCTATTTACAATAAGAGGGGCCCCTAACTTCATCCACACTTATTCTACACTTCAGCAAACGAAGTTGCATAAATAGATACACATGTATTACTAGAAATGGAAGTAAATGGGAAAAAAATAAATTCAACACATGTATGAAAGGTAAAATCACAGTAACATAAAATTACAATGACATCTCAAAAATTACCATTTTCTAGGAACAGAACAGCAAATATTCAAAGACAATATGCTATTCATCCTACCTCTACAACAGAAGCTGATGAACCTAGTGATTAGTAAATTTTTGATTTAAGCTAGGAATTAATAAGCATGAGCTAGTAATAATAAACCTTACAGACTGGACATAAAAAATCCCTGGGTTTTAAGGACAGATTTTGAAACAACATTTCAATCTGAGTAGTACACAGAAACTAAGTGGAGCTTAAACAGTATATTTCAGGGAAATCATGACATGGTTGCCTCCAGTAACATGGAGATTATCTCAGTGATCCAGGTGAAAGGCACTCCCACTCCTATCTCCAAACTTCCTCAAGACTTACAGAGCCATGGATATATTTAGTAAAAAGGAAAACACACAGATATGTCACATGGATAATATCACATAGTGAAACTTGTGCTTTTCCCCAAATACTTTGCCTTTACTTTCTAACTATTCCCTAAATCCGTACTTGATTTATATTTCCATTTTTCCCATACATGTACTTTAAGGGCTGAGGAACAAAAGGAGTACCTACTCACAATTCAGAAGCCATTCTTCCAGGACATTTTGTAGTAAGCAAACATGCTGTACCTTCACTTGTGCACTCTAAATGCACATCAGCCCCCAGGCATTAATCTCGACTCACTGATTTTATTTTTAAATTATAAATCTCTCAAAAAAATGCTGTAAGGAACAGAATGGCTTAAGAGGACAAAAGTATCCTTACCATAACTTGCCAAGTTAAATTATATAAGTAATTGATATCCTACAGTGACAGGCATCTGAGAAATGTGTATTAGAAAGATTACACAAAAGTACATAACAAGTCAGCCAGTGTACAGAAAATACAGAGTTTGGTGAACTGGAAGAGTCAACCTCAGACTGGATTTGGTACATTCATGCATTTACTAGGTGCTGGCTTCAGGAAAACGGTGGATTCTCTTTGTGGATCTCCAAAAAAGGGAGTTTTACCACTATTTCCCCATTCTACACAGAGAAGAAAGAGGCTCTCTCTGAGTTACTGCCAGAACAGTGAACAGACATGCTCTTTTATTAAAAAAGTAAAATGCTCTATATTCTGATGTTGGCTCCAACTGCAGTTGTCCTTTGTCACTTGTCCTGCTGGATAACTTAATACTCTCCTGCCAGTGTAGAACACTAATGCATTCCTAGCTGCAGTAACAAATGACATAATTAGCTCTGCTTCCCTCTGCTGAGCTGTCTCACTCAATAATCTGCACAGGCTTTTCTCTGCTCCCACATACAATTAACAGAGAGGGTATTACCAGATAAAGCTTTTACATGTAGGTATACAACCTGGCATGCTCAAAACAACTGCTCTCCTGAAGTTGTACCTATTGGGCCATTTGGTAGCTGTCAAGATAAAACATGAGAAGCACTGTATGCAGTATTTATACCAATGATATCAAAAGCAACTCCAGAAGTTATACCCAAATATAACGCTGAAGATCAACACACACTTTCACTTGCACTTAGAGAAATTTAACTGAAGACAGCTTGATGCTTGAACTTGCATCCCCAAAACTCATACTGCTGAAGCAGACTCACACAAATCCTGCCTTATCAGATTAACCTCAAAAAATATGTTGTGAATTCTGGAGGTTTTATTACTGAAGGGCTTAAATGATGTAATAATATGGTAGAAGTGCTATTTAAAACAAGACACTACAGAGTATCCTGCAGAGTTCTGCTCCTACTAGTTAAAAATGTTTTAACCCAATAGAAACATTACATTAGTGTTCTAAAATATGTTTAGGTATTTATTTTATGTCTATAATCCAATATAGCATCATAAATATATTTTATGTGTTCTTACTTTCTATACTCAGTTCATAGACACAGAAAAAGATACAAAATATAAAAATTCACTAGTAAGTAATTAATAGCTCTTATACTCTGAAATACAAATAAGAATTACTGCTTAGATGATCCCGTGGCCCTTAAAACCATTAAACCTGCTTAGATGATCCAGTGGCCCTTCAAAACAATACAACCTTCTCTGTATATTCACTAGATACTAAAGTAAAAATATATGGAAGATTAATTTGTAAGAAGCACAACAAAAACATGTGGTCTGAACTCCTATTAATTTGCTGAGAGGTGAAAAATAAAGAAGTTGAAGTTTTATCTTATAAAATTAACATTGTTGAAGCACCACAGATCAAGTAATTCCTAACAATAACACTGTTACTGGCCTGTAAGAGAGCTGCTTACAAAGTACTGTAATCCTCTGCTGTTAATAAATATTCAGAGATTCTGAAGTACTAGAAAACAATTTTTTGTCTGTTCTTCAACAGCAGAGTAGAAAAGGCAAGTTCTCACTTAACTCTTACTACATACAATGAGAGTTAACTATAAGATCACCTGTTACAAAGAGTCCTCTGATATTTCAAGTAAATCATTACATTTGATACCATCAATAATTTCTGATTGTATTATGCCTTGTGTACAACCAAGTGTATTTGTAACTTTGTAGGATCAGGCTTTAATTCCAGCTGCTGTGTAAGAGCACAAGCACTGAAGATACAACAACAAGAACTCTCTGCAGATTTAAGAGCAGATGCTACTTTTCATTTGTAAATAACTCTACCCTGTACTTAAGCCACATAAGATTTGCAGTTACTATTTTTGATTATACTGGTAGCAATTATCATAACATGCATCCTACATTATTATGAGCAGGTCTAAAGCCTCTGGAAAGCAAGAAGCAACTTGTGGAAAACAGTTAGGAATGTTCGAAATCAAACTAGATACAAGTGACCTTATTTCAAAAGGTCTTTTCCATATTAAGTCACATATAAACATGTACTGCAAACATACCTGTTCTCCAGCCACTGTAGGTATTATTGTCTAATAACCAAAGACAACACTTCTAGATGTTATCCTTCTGTGCTTTTCTTTATTAGAAAAATAAATGCTATCATTTTGTTCCTTTTCATAGCTTCCAGAATCTTACCTATTTAACAGCATGCTGCCCTAGCTAAATGATGAATCCTGCCTACTGCTTTTCAAATGCACCAACCTTCTCAAAAACACTGGATGGTGTCATCAAACAAAACCTGATGTTCTGAATGATGGTATCCGTATGTCTCCAGCGTCTTCTATCATGGCGCAGCCAGGCCTGAACAGCTTCATACAGCTCTATCTCTGGAAACCTGCTCAGATGATCATTATCCAAGTAAGACATGAGCTTCTCAAAGCTCAGATATGAAAGAAAGTCAGGTCTGGACATGAGTGGCACAAAATTCTCTAGCAGAAAGGAATCCAATTTTTCCCTGACTCCTTCGATGTTTACACCAAAATCATCCAGAAGTCTCATAATTTCTGCACAGTTTTCTAAGCAGATTTTAGCTAAGAGGAAAGAGCAGCAAAACTTTACCACCTCTATAAGCTGGACATACATGGCAGCCTGAAGGATTTCATGAACAGTGTTCATACTCAGTTCAATAGTTCCATAGTACATGAATTGGAGGACATGACTGAAGCCTGTAGCTGTCAGACCTTTCAAATGGATTTTGTCCTGATCTCGTTCTCGCATGTCTGCTGTGAACATAATCCTGAAGTAATCACTCTGGGTGGCAAGCAGTGCTTTATGGGCCTGAAATTGGTGGTCTTCAATGACAAGTGTGACATCAAGAAGCAATCCCTCCTCATACAGTGCTCTGAATCCTGCAGAGACACTGGTGTCATGGATGGAGGAGCTAAACCCTTCCACGTCCCCTGCCATGAATCACCTGGGGGGAAGAAAGAAAATAAATAAAAATAAAAATAAATCATAATTTCTAATAACATATTACAAGCTCTTCCTGGCCAGGTAAATCCTAACTGAGATTGCCTTGATTAGGACTTAAAAGTCTTCACCATTGTTTCTGTTTTGTCTCAGCTGAAAAATCAACTTAGGAAATAGTTTAAAACACAAACTTTATATATTTCTCCCCAAACCAATTATTCTCATTTTAAAGACAGGGTAATGAACAAAAATAACTATGCAATATGCCAAAATGATTCCTTACTCCAAGTTAATTCATGGTCATATAACGAACTAAAAAGGTTGTCATGGTTTTTTTCCTCTCCCCCTGTCAATCTTTCTAAAGAATTTATCTCAGGGGAGCAATAAAACACCCACTCTTGGATATCAAAGGTCTCAAAAAAAGGAAGCCAAACTTCCTTAACTCCAGAAACAAGCGTCAGTGGATCTGTACATACTATGATCTTAGAAAAATACATTTATTATGCTTTAAAATCTATGTCAATTTACTCAAAAGTTATTTGTAGGAACATGAACATTTTCACAGATACTATTTGAGATTGTGTGCTTCACTTCTCCTGTAAAAACACAGTCCCATCATGTTCCCCCCCCATTTCTTACTATAGTGATTAATATCAAGTTATGAGATCTATGAACTGCAAAATACTAAGGCAACAAGAAGCACTGACAAGAATAGGTCACAAAAAATAATATTCTGTATAGTGGGCTTAGTGAAGCTTAATTGCTCATTAAGCATTTGCAGATACAGTGTTACTTATATGCAAGCTATAATTAAACTGTAAATAAAAAAAAAAAATCTAAGAGTAGCAGCATCCTGGTAAAGTCAATTCAATAATCAAAATAAAAACCTATTCAGAATCCAGAATTTTCTCAAAATGTTGCTCAACTTCTTTGGGTTTAGGTAGGGTAAAGTTGCACAATGCAGCTTGAACCAATTAACAATTCACCAAAGGACCACAGCACACTGCATTCTCCTTGTCCATCACATTCCAGGACCTGAGCTCCTGCTGCCTACTTTGAGCCATTTCTGGGGTTCATTGGGCTTCTTCAGAAAGTCAATTCAACTCATAAACATGACTGAAAAATAAACTAAGAGCAGGAAGGGACAGACGTGAAAAAGACACAAACATGACCACCCCACTCCCCAGCACACACAAAACCTTAAACTAGAAATCTTTCTGCTTCCCAGTGAGCTGACTTCTGACTTGACACAGTGGGGTTTTGGCACAAGGACCAACCTGATGCACAGGGCAGGACACATACTCGTGCAAGAAGAGAGAGAAAGAGCAACAACTTCCCTGCTTGGCATTCATTTACTATTAGAATTGGCTCAGCTACTTTTGTTCCACTTCATCCCACCTTAAATTACTCTTCAACTTTCCCTCAGATATTTGTTGCATTTAACTCTGAATTTTCTATAACAAATAAAGCTAATAATGTTTTGGTAACCCATGTGAAAACTAAATAATACCAACACATTGGAAAAACCTGCAGATTCTCAAGGTCATAAAACTTCACACAAGTATATGGACACGGAAGTGACTCTAGGCTGGCCTGTGTTTCACAGCCTCAGAGAGTAGTTACCACTTACACCCACTTCCTCAAGCATCACATTCTGGCTGCTGCCATTGTAACAGGAATGCATTTTATTAGACTCATCAATGGTTAATCATCTTCTCTCCTTCACTTCTCAGCACACATCCTGGAAAACTAAACTGGAGATACCCTCTGTCTGTGCAAAACTAAACTAGTGAATGGGTGTTTGCAGCCACACCTCGTGGAATTAGCACCACTCCCACACTGCTGAAGCCTGATGATGGGCTCTGTGCACGATAAAGCCAGTGCTGGGAGTGTTCATTACTATTAAGGCCTTCTCACAGAATTCAAATTCCTGAAAGTAAGAGCAGGAGCAAAGAACAAAGACGACAATCCAATCACTTTCTCACCAGTATCCAAGATAGCACCTTCCCTTCAATGTCACTGAAGACAAAGAGAAACATGCTAACTGCTCTGGAACCTTGTATTGTGAGTCCCTTATTCCTCAACATCAAATGCCTACCAGAAAGAAAAATTACCATCAGACATTTTCTTCATTGTTGTCAACTCTTACACAAAAGCAGATGAGGAAAGAACCACTTCACTAATTCTTACCACCTCAAAAAGAAGCACGCAACTGAAGAGGAAGCATAAAGCCTGACTTTACAGGATTTTGCTTTCTAACTGGATTTCTGATATCAAATAAAAAGGTAAGGACCAATATTAGCTTACTTCCTTCTTTCATCAGAGTACTTGTAACTCCTCCCATTCCCAGTTCTCTGATGTTTAATAATAGCTGAGCTCATACCTCAGTCCTTCCTGTTCAAGAGATTTAATGATCACTTGCCTTTAACTGGGCCACTCATTTTCATAAAACATACAGCAGCTTAAAACAACTCTCCCTGCTGTCTGAAATCAGCCAACAGGTTCATTGGTTACAAGGACTCAGACAGTACGACTGTTACAGAGCTTTAGGAGACCAACTAAGACTCGGCCCAGCGTCAGTTCCACGATCAGGGTTAAAAATGGTAAAGGACAGTTGGAATTTGCAAAAGTGAGAATGAGAACAGAATAATACAACAATGTATCAGGGGAGAAAAAGTAAAAAATGAAGGAACATTCCCCAAGTAACAAAAGCAATTGTGTATTGCTCTGGAAATTAAGGCATCTCCCATCACACAGGTAATCCTACTGAAGGGATTTCTTCAGAAGAGTATGTGCATTACTGTGTACCTGAATAGCACAGAAAAACCACAGCAGCAAGCTCCAAACACACAGTAGGATCTTTGCCCTTCCTCGACACAGATAATTATGTTACAGGTACTCCTCAAATAAAAGGAGACAAATTAACAAATTAACTTGTACACAGGACAAGAAAGGCCTCCTTCACTACCCTCAAAGAAGCAAAAAGGAAAAGTTGGAAGTGAAGTTAAGCAGAGACACAGTAGATGCTCTCCAGTGTTGCTTTTAAGGATCAAAACAAGTAAATAATACTCAACACAATCAAACAAAAACTCCAAATCCAAAACAAACAAACCCCACAAACAAACAAAACAAAATACAAACAAAAAAACCCCAACCGAACCAGCACCAGAGAGTCCTGGGCAACTGGCTCTAGGTGGCCCTGCAGGTGGCACAGATGACCTCCAGAGGTCCCTTAGGACCTCAGCTAGTTGTGAATTTGTGATCCTGTTGCTTTTGCACAGACACTGCAACAATGTGCGGATTTTTTTTTTTTTTTTTTTGCAACCTTCTTTTTAATTCTGATTAAACAGAAATAAGACAAATATACACACACAAAAAATTTCATGTATATGTTATTATCCTTCGAATTTTAAATCTAACAAGGCAGCAATCACTGAAATACTGAGAAATAAAATCTACCTGTATTTAGGGAACACCCTTTAGGGTTGCAATTTTTACATCTCCCTACAGCTGGCTATTCCATAGAAAATATTTAAAACACTGAATCAGCCACAAATCTCCATAACAGTAACAAAGGGGTCACCACTTGGAAATTATCATTTCTGAATGCTGTAAAAATGTGGGTGTTTAAATAACTTAATCCTTCTTTTCACATTCCTGCTGATATTACTTTTAGTAGATCTACAGTTTTCAACATCAATGTATTTTTCCTCCTAAACAGCAGCAAGCATTTAATGGATTACTAAGCAGACATAAAACCAGTTAAGACTTCTCCTTACACCATCTAAAGAAGCTTCAGAATTCTAGGAGAGAAAAGCAAAAGGACTACTTGTCTCCCTGCATTAAATAAAAGGAGTAAATAGCCATTTCTTGGCATAAAGCCATACACATTATCAGCAGATAAATTTTTCTTTAAAACAAAAAAATGCATTGCCACTGCAAATACACAAAGGGGTTAAAATAGTACAAAAACTGGGAAAGTAGATAATTAAATGCATATTATGCTTAATTGGTAAAAATCTTCATTTTGAAAGCTAACATCCTCCAACAAAAGCAAACAGCAATGTGGTAGTTCAAACATTAAAAAAAGCAATATACAATACTCTCAAACCAAGTAATTTTTCTAAAGCATAGCTATGCCATTCCTCCCACACACACACTTGCAATCTTTGATGTAATTCTAAGCACTATTCAAATGCTGCAGTTATTTCCCAGAGGACAATACATAACAATTTTTTTTCATATTTTCAATAAAAATGGAAAATTCAGTTAGATTTTCTTCATGCATGCAAATCACAGCTGCACACTTAATCCAATGGAAGACATGGAGCCTGCAGTGGTCTATAGGAAAACTGGAACAAAAAAATTCCAATGTATAAACAATGAAGGGGAGGTGGGGGGCAATGTACATTGACATTCATTATTGTTCTGCACATATTAGAGCTGATCAGGATAATGCAGCACAGGAAGTAAGACCCTGCTGAAAAGCCAAAAGAGAAATACATTTAACCTTATTAGCTTTTCCTTACATTTTTTCCTCTTCAGGCACATAATGCATTAGATTCTACAGTGCTCTAACTGCAAAACCACTTACTTGGAACACTGATTTCTCATCTTTATTCTGCAGCTGTAATGAAGGTCTGACAACCCTACTCTAGACTGCTTTTTCTTGCAAAACAAGGAGAACCTTCTTTCCTCAGGGTGTCTGAGGCTCTTAGTCACAAGCAGAAGAAACAGAGTCTAAATGCACTGGCTATTGAGAAGCAAGCTATAGAATATCTGCTTTTGACTCATGCCCTCCTGGATTTAAAACCTCTCCAAAAGCAGTACTACCTGAAAAAGGGCCCTTTGAATATGTGTCTTTATGTAATAAGTAAGCATTTTCCAGGGACAGAAATTTATTGTCCTAGTTAAGTATTGAGAATACCAAGTCTAGCAGCTCAAAGGAAAATTTCAGATTTCCTTTACTGTTGTTCCTTAGTAACTCATTTGCGATGCTGAGACAGAATGAGCAAGATTTGTTGTTTACTAATTATGGAGCATTTGTTCATTTTACCTATCCCACAGATATTCTAAGAAATCATCTTTGTGGATAAGCTGATCAACAAATTTTCACATAATAGAACACTATTATCTATGAGTTACATCATAAAGATATTTCACCAGACATACAGAACCATGCTTCAGTTACACAAAATACTAAAATAGAGCTTAAAATGCAATAATCTCTTCCATCCACCAAATGCATGCATTTAAATGTAAATTTTAAAGCTATTATGCATGCTTTCTTTGGTGAGGTGCACAGCAAAGGCTGCCTAGAGCAGAATTCTTTGACCCTAGTTTTGTTAACACGCTTTTCTGCAGGAAGAGGACATTTCTCCATAGTCAAATGCTATACATATACCTATGAAAATACAATACAACAAGTATTTGAACACACTAGCAAACATTCACAACTGCACACATGGCTGAAGGCTGGGCCTTTGAATGCAGTGTACTGTATTGAGTAAGAATGCAATTATAATGTACACAGTATAAATAATTTATCCCCCAAATTAAACCTTTGTTTACATAGTTTAAAACTAAAACCATTAAATTTTGTCCACCATTTTTCATCATAATCCCCTACTAACAGCAACAGAATGAGTGATGTCACGTGGGATAGATCAATAACCAGTGGCTATCAAAGCTTTCCTTTGCTACAATTGCAAATGTAGGGAACCAAGCAATACATCCAGTTTCCATGTGTTTTATCTGAAATCCTTTGTAATTAGTACACTAAATTTGGGAAACAATTTATCTTCAAGGCATTGGTATGTTCATGTTTAAGACTTCATCCAATCCCTCTTGAGAATTCCAAAAGCACTGGATTACTTGAGAACGGAGAAGTTAGGAGCTTACCAATCACTGCCAGTCTGAGGAACCAGACTGCCAGAACTTAAAACTTGGCTATTCCTGCAAGCTGCCCACACTCCATTTCTTAGGGACACAGAGCTGCCCAGGACAGCTCCCCTGACAACCTCTGCCTGTGCTGCTGTCTGGGAGCAATCTGAACCAGCACATAGCAACAGTGGCACTTGGTGTCATGATGGTGATCACGGCTGGGTCAGAAGCATCAGAACTAGTTACAACCAAACCTACTAAAACCCAGCATGGATTGTGCCTCAGCTCAGCATGGTTACTCTTCACTCTACGTGTGCCAGAACCTGTAACTGCACCTCACAGACACTGAGTTAGCTTGAACCATCTGTCTGAAAGGTCACTGCATCACAACACCTGTACAGAAAAACAGGCTCCCAAACACAAAGCAAGCTCAGCTCAACGCTCTTGCTGTTGCATTTACTGATACCAGAACAGGTGCCCTGTATAAAATAGTTGATACATCCATCAAAATTACAATTATCTTTAACTGGAAATACTTGCATTACTAATACCTAAAAGTTAAATTGTTAGTAGTGTTGAAAACTACAGATTTGCCATTGCTCTCAAAGTGGACAGGACTGCTCTATCCTGAATATCAGTCCTTCTTATATATACATATATACGTATGTATATATAGTTGTGTCTTATAGAATGATTAATCTTTTCAAATGTAAGAAAAAGGTATGAATAAAGCCTGATTCTCTCACTGCGAAGATTTTTATTAAGAAAATTATAGTGTATTTTATACAGAAAAGTAGCAAGCTAAGTATCTGTTAGTAATAAAAAATCCCATCTTTTCTGACTTATAAATTTTTAGTATGATAGAAAAGAGCAAGAAGTAATATTCAAACTATATTAGTCAAAAAAATTTTAATTTTAAATTAGGATTGCTAAAGCACCCCCTCCATTTGTCTTTTTATCTGTATCTTTATTGCTAACTAAGTACTCCTAGCATCTTCTGAAAAAATGACATTAATTGTGCCCTTTGTTCAAGACACACAAGGTTTTGACCTCACTGCCAAATGTCAAACTCATTTGTCAGAAACACAGAAATCTCAAACATATTTAATTTCTACACATATCCCCCAAACTGGCAGCTAGATGAATGAAAAAGGTCTGATGTCTCCAGTGTGAGCTCACTGGTTATCTGCGGTACTCTGCTCGCTGAAAGGCGAATCAACACTTGTGTAGATCCAAGCCAGCCACAGGGTATAATTATGGAAAGTGAAAGGAGATGAGTGTCACTGGGAAAGTTTATAGGACATGTGGTAGAAATTAAACACGTTTTCTAGGTGATGGAAGGGAAAACACAGGAAGTATGTTGGTGCATGGTGGTATGCTCAGGGGATCTGAATGTGAACTGGGGCAATGGTGGTGCAAGAGCTGGGTTATTCTACAAGTAAGTTTATATAACAAGTCCACAGGAAGCCAGACTTCAGTAGTTTTGTCCTTTTATCCGGTAATAGCTTTATAATTCTCCTACTCCTCTTCTAAATGGGAAGAAAAAAACCCAAACCCTAAACAATAAAAAAGCAAGAACTTTAAATTTTTAAGTGATGTCCCAGCATTCACCAAACAGATCGAAGCTCTAGTACCAACTCTGGCTAGCTCTACTCGTACAGATCGCGGATACTTTTTTCACGATCAGCTACAATCGGGGTGGGGGGAAGGGGAGGCCAGGTAAAAATGGTCATTTTCGGGGCAGGAACTCAGATGACCTACTTCAGCCTGTCTGCTCGCACGCCCAGCCCCGCTCCGCTGTGAGCAGAGCTCGCAGGCCCGGGGTCCGCGACATGCGGCCGCAGGAACCCGAGGGGCCCGGCGGGGCTGCGGCCGCCCCGGACCCGCCAGGCATTCGCTGCGGCCGTGCCCGATCTCCGCTCCAGCCCGCCCGCTCCCCGCCTGCCGCCCGCGGGCACTCGGCCCGCCGTCCCCCAGCCCGGGGAGGAGGGTCGCTGAGGGCAGGAGGGCGCCCGGGCCGCCCTCGATGGGGCGGACGGGAGGGCCCGGGGGATCCTTCACCCACCTCTCGGCAGCGGCGAAGCTGAGGACGCGGCTCCTCCCGCTGGCGCGGCGGAGAGGGGCCCTGGCTTCGTGTACCATACAGCCGGGGGCGGCGGAGGGAGGCGCCGGGGGGCTGCGGAGAGGGGCAATGGCTGAGGCGAAGCCGGGAGGAGGAGGAGAAGGAGGCGGAGGAAGAAGGGGGGATCCTGGGCTCCCTCCTCCCCGCCGTCCGCGCTCGGGGAGGCGGTGGGAGCCGCCCCCGCCGCGCCGCCCGGGCACCGGCGCTCCCGGCCCGGCCTCGCCCCCGGGGTCCCCGCCGCCCTCACGCTTGTTTACCTTCCGCGCTGCCCCGCGCGGCCGCGGGCGCCATGTTCCCCCGGCAGCACCGCGCCGGCCGTCACTTCCGCCGCACCTGCGGCCGCGCGGGCGGGCCCGGGGCAAGGAGCGGCTCCGGCACCTGCACCGCCCCGGCCCCGACCCGCCCTGTGCGGGCTCAGCCAGGCGCCGGAGTCCCGGCACGCCCCGAGGAGCACGCCTGGAGAAAGCGACACCGAGAAGCATCATGTGCGTCCGGCCGCGAGGACGCGCATCCACACGCGTCCGCTTTCAGAGGGTCGGTGTTGCGCTGCTCTCTCCCACCCCGCTGCCTCCAGGCTGCGGCCAATTTCTCCGAGGCTATGGCAGCTCCCAGTTTGCTATGGCAGCTGCCCGGTGTAGCGCTGCATCCCGCCCCGGGCTGCAGCAATCCCCGCTCGGTGCCGGCGGAGCCCCTCCCCGGGCAGCGGCCAGCGCAGGTGCTGCGGGCTGATCCCGGCTCGCTGCTTTCCGCAGGCTGCCTTGCCAGCCGGCGTGGGAACTGGGTCAGCGGAGCCGCAGGGGTCAGGACCGGCAGCCCTTGAGCACAGGGAGCACGGCCCTGAATGGGATGAGCAGGGCTCTGCCTTAGTACAAACATCACCCCTTAGCTTTTGCTATTTTGCCTTTGCCTGGCAAACTCGGATTTTATTGTAAGAGATTAACTAACCTACGTGGTTACCTTTGGTTTGCCACTAGCACCCCCAAACCATTTGCTACCCTTCCATGTCACTCACTGCTTTAAATAGTAGGCCACAGGCTGCTATCCTCTCCATATTTACTGCTGTTCCCATCCCCTTCACAGCCTATTTTCAGCCTCTCATTACCACTCCCTCCCCATTCTTGATTTATTAAGGAAGTGTACCCTCTCTATACCTGCCACTCTCGAGCTGAATGTCTTTCCCACCTTTCAAGGCTTCACACAATGAACCAGCTATTCCATGCTGTGCCTCAAAAGACTTCACAATGCTATTCCCACTCTGCTCAACTGCCCACCTACTGCTCCCCCTGCTACAATCAGCTTCCCATTCACTCCTTCATCCCTATGGCCAGATCTTTGCAATCCCTTACTATTCCATCTCCTTCACTCATGCACTAAATTTGCCTCATCTCCCCAGTCACTGTTTTAAAACCTGTTACTTGTGCACTTATGGTGAAAAAACTAGCCTTTACAGACTGACCCTGCCAAGACAGCAGGTGTTCCTGCCACCTATGTCTCAAAGGAGAGATATTCCCCCCCTTTTTCCATAAGGGACATCTCCTGCTGGAGCAAGCATGTACCCACCCATATCTAATGCTTCCACAAAGAAAAATGAGTAGAAACTAAGTTTATCACACACAGAAATGATACAACCAAAACTTCATGCATCTTTCTGCACCCCTCAGACTTCTGACCTTCGAAGGTCAGCAAGGGTGGAAAAAGCTAAGCAAGACTTTTATGTTTTACCTGACTGTCATTTTGCTGTTGCAGTTTGTGTCAAGGTGAGGTGCAAGACGATCTTTAGGTCTCTCCTACACACTGTCACAGAAGAGGACCTCAAACCTAGCCACAAAACAAAACCACAACAGCTTTGACATTTAAAACAGCTCAACATTTCAAAGCACAAAAAACGCCTCCCATCCCCTTCTCATTCACATTGAACAATTTGCTTCTACCAAAAAATCAAAATATGTCAACAATGTCTCAGTTCTAGTCTCCTAAATAAAATTAAATAATTACATTTAGGCCTCTGACAATGACCGCTGGTATCAAGATTACCTTAAGATATGACCACTGGTATGACCTATCAAGATTACCTATCAAGATTACTGAATATTAAATTAAATTGAGATTTGGGTTGACCCCTCTGATTTAGGCATTTGTACGAAGTCAGTGGCTAAACAGTTACCACTGGCTTAAATGAGACTATTGCAATGACTAAAATTCTGGATATAGTTTTTTGAGCTGTATTAATACACTAGTTATAATTTAATTCTAATATTTTTAAATTTTATTTAATTCATACATATTCATGTCCAATACACATATATTGACATATGACATGTCAACTCCTAGCAATGTTCTTACCTATTTTAGTTGGGGTTGTTCAGCCTGGACAAGAGAAGGCTCTGAGGAAACCTTATAGAAGCTTTTGGTGCTTAAAGAGGGCCCAAAAGAAGGCTAGAAAATGGACTTTTCACAAGGGCATGTAGTAACAGAACAAGGGGGAATGTCTTTAAACTGAAAAAGGGCAGGTTTAGATTAGGTGCTAGGAAGAAATTCTTTACTGTAAGGGTGGTGATGCACTGGCACAGGTTTCCCAAAGAAGCTGTGGATGCCCCATCCCTGGAAGTGTTCAAGGACAGTTTGGATGGGGCTCTGAGCAACCTGGGATAGTGAAAGGTATTTCTACCCATGGCAGGAAGATTTGAACTCAATGATCTTTGAGGTCCCTTACAACCTAAACCATTCTATGATCCTACAGTAATTACATTTGCAGACTTTAGGCTTTTCTGGGTTTTCTTTATACTACAAACATTTCCAAATAAGTGAATCAAAATAGCAAGAGTACTTCAGAATATGTAAAATGTACAATCTCATTGTTAAAATAGAAGCAACAGTTTGTGTATTTTTTTTCATATTTCTGACAGGGTGTTTGGCAAGGATTAAGTCCTTTTTAAAGGCTGTTTCAAATGTGACAAAAACTATTTCCATAATTTTAAACACCCTGCGCTGCATTTATTGCATAATTTAACAGCTAAGCAACTACAGAGTCCAGTATTTTCAGTTCATTTTCATAAAAGAGGGATTATATACATGTGTGAACATCGAGGCAACTACAACCAAGTATTGCATCATGTTCCCACTACACCTCGTGTATCTCAGTTGTTTTTCCCAGAACTGAGATATTTAATACAAAATTGAAAACACCATGTGGCCTAACAAAATATTAGATATGAAAATTTATTTTCCAGACCAACGTATGGCATGGTTGGGTTGCAAGACAAAATACATTTTGTCATTTGCAAAACCATTATATATACTGGAAGGTTTCTTACTATGTGCTCCTGTTAATTTTTTCAGATCAAGAACACTGGCAATGTGTTTGCACCAGCAGAACTCACTCCTAGCTCTTGTATCAGGAAAGCATGGAAATAGTAGCATTGGTGAAAGTGGGAGGTTACAACTATTGTTAAACCAGGCACACCAGTTTCACACGGATTTCCATCATCACATTTCAGTCACGTGGTTGTCTGCCCCAAACCTGCTTTTTTTGACCTGCAAACCCAGGCTAAGTCTGAGAACAAACGTGTGTCCAACAGACAAAGCCACTGCTGTTGGCACAACACGCAGGCATTTGACATGACTGGTTACCTGCACTGAACCTGCTTCCCTGACCACGGAGGAAATCCCACCAGCAACATCTCCTATGCCTGCAAGAGGTTCCCATGAAGAGGTCCGCTTGATTTCCCACAGGCTGGGAATTTGGCCTTTACTCTCTAGTGAACCTCTAAACTGGCTCTCAGCACTGGATTAGGGATTTTATTCAATTTATAAAGCATTTATGGCATACCCATCTCTGGAAACAGCAAATGTTTGGTGGGATTTTTACCTGTTTCGCACAAAGCATTCAGGTGGTTCGTGTGTTGTGGCAGCTCTCACATCCACATGCCTTCCCAACAATAAGGGCTCAGTCTACAAAGACAGTAACAAGAAAGAAGGCTGGAATTAGCAAGGTCTCCTCACGCCGACGGCCAGCAGAGGTTACAGTACGGTGACAATCTCGAGCACACACCGCGCTGCACGGCTCATTTCGGTCCACAGCCGGACATGGTGCTTCAGCCCTCCCCCAGGCGCCGCACCGCACCGCGCCGCGGGCACCCCACACAAACCCGCACAGCAACAAACCCTGAGCGCGGCACGAGCCTCCCGCCGCCGCTGCGTCTCTCACCGAGCCCGCTCCCCTTCCCGCAGCCACGGCGCCGTTCCACGCCCGCGCTGCACGGCACCGGCGCGGCCCGCGCGGGCTCCCGGTGCTCCCGGCGGGGTTTTCGGGGCGCCCGTCCCGGCGGGCTCCGGCACGGCCGAGCCGCGCGCTCCCGCAGGCGCGCCGTGCCCGCGCTCCCGCGCCCGCCACCTGCCGGCCGCGCTCCCGCCCCGTGCACGTGCACGCTGCGCGGCCCCGCCGCAGGCCCCGGTTGCATCACCCGGCGTGAGGGCGACCGCGGGTCCTTTACAGGGCTGCCCGGTGGCGTGCCTGACTCGTGGCCGCCCCGCCGCGGGGCCGATGGCTGCCCCCCGGCGCTGATCGCGGTTTTTCCTTGAGCTCGGTGTCCGCTCCGGGGCCGGCCGGTGCCGCGCTGTGGGCCGGAGGCTACGGGGCGGTAGCAGCAGTGCCGAGAGGAGCCGGCGGTCAGGCGGCCGCGCGGGACTCCTCACTTCCTACTCGGGCCAAGATGGCGGGGGACGAGGCGGGAGTGACTCTGGGGCAGCCGCACCTCAGCCGGCAGGATCTCGCCACCTTGGTGAGCGCCGCCCGCGGGGTGCCGTGGAGCGAGATCGGGCTCCCGGGGCTCGGCGGGGACGCCCCGGGAGCGGAGGGGGCGGCCGGGTGGGCGATGGGTGCGGCCCGAGGGGCTCCGAGCCTTCTGCCGGGCCCCGCCGCTACCGCTGCGTTCCGAGGGGCGCAGGAGGCGGAGGCGCCTCGGGAGCCGCGTTCAGCGCGCCGGGCGGCAGGGCACGCGGCCGAGAGCGGGGGGACGCGGGCAGAGCGGCGGGAGCAGGTCTTGCCGGTCCTGGCGGGTGCGGGGCGCCGGGCGCGGCGCTTCTCCTGCCGGTGAGTGCAGGCTCAGCGGCTCCGTGTCCCGCCGGCGCGGCTGAAGCTTTTATGGCTCACTGGTGGGTGCAGTTTTCCTCGTGTAAGGGTTGCCTTGTTCTGTGGTATTAAAGACTTTTCTTTTTCCGAAGTAGAACCATAAATTTGAGGTGTTTCTGTACAGTAAGCTCGAGGAGTTCGTTACGAGCCCTGTCTTGGTTGGTTTGCCAAGAAAATTTTCTTGACTATTAACAACTACCGAGAAGAGCGGGTTCAATCTACCGCTGCAGCTACCGCTGCAGCCAGTTGCAGTGGTCTCCTGCTGTGGCAGCCTTGCCTATTAAATATCTCACTTGGGCTGCCTCACTTATTACACTTATATGCTAGTTTAAGTGTATATGTAATGTATATTTCAAATTCAAGCGTATTATAATGTAGATAGTCAAAAAGCCTGCTGCTGTGTCCCCGGTGTTTAAACTGGAGCAGCTTATTTGTCTTTACAGTAATAATATTTGGTGTTTTTTGGGCTTGAGCACAGGAATTCCCTACGACGAGTGTGTTAGTTATTTCAGATAGTTTCTTTTCCTCCTGTCGTTGTTGACCATGGCATTTCCTAGTTGGAAAAAGCACAGATAGAGACTAGTTGGAAGGTCAGCAGGAGTTACCTTTAAGGGCCTATTCTGCCGGCCCTTGAGTGCTTATGGCTGAGTGAAGCTTCTTGCTGAGCAATACCTTATACCAGTCTTGAGGAAAAACCTCCATGCGTGCATGAGTTCGTGCACCAGGAAGAATTCTCCTGGTGGCAGGAATTGCATCACGCTGAAATTCTGGTCGCTCGGCCACATGGTGCCATCTGCAGGTGATGTTCCCATCGCTGGGAAGTCATTTTAAGTTCGATATATGAGAAATATAAATTTAATTGTGTGTCATAGGTGTTGAAATCTTGCTTTCTATCGAAGATCAACAGTTTATTCCTGTCATACTTGAGAGGAGAATGAGCTTAGGTTTTTACACAGATGTGTTTGATCATTTTGCACAGAACCTTCATGTAACAGTGGAAACAATATGTGATTTAATGTTTATATTATTTGTATCTTAAATTTTGTCCTGCACTGAGGACTCTTCTGGCATGATGAATCTTTGCTTGAACTGAGTGGCTCATCCATGTGAATTCAATGCAGGATGGATATTAGCTTTACAGAGGAACATTTCATTGGATTTCAACACTTGTCCATTATTTGGTCAAACAGCTTTAAAAAAACCTAATCAACTCTTTCAGAGTTGTTTCTTTATCTATACACAGTGTATTTGTGAGGTTTTTGTTTTGCTAGCGGTTACCAATAACTTCGCACAACAAACTATTTAGGACAGCAGAATTTTTGTCTGGTGCCTAAAGCAGCAATAACAGTATCCGAGGAAAAAAATAGCCATTAAAAAAAAAGGCCATGGTGCTAATGTAACCTCTGGACCCACTGACTCCAGAGTGTGAGTTGTAATTATGTATTGGCTCTAATGGAACCTTACAGCAATTAAACAACTGTTTATTGACAACGCTTTGTTTATAAATATTACTGCAGTTCATCATGTAGGCTGTCGAAAATGAATTTGCCTGTTATGTGTAATTTAGTTTCAGGGGTATGTAGGGGCTTGGGGTGTTTTGTTAAAGGCTTCCTTTGAGGTTTCTTGTTTTGTTTACTCCCATCTTTAACACTTTGCAGCCAAGACTGATTTACAGTCAGGGTTTTGAATTGTAGTCTGTACTGATTCACAAGCAGGACTTGGTTCACTTTTCACAAGTATTTCACACACTTAAAAGACTTGAATGCACATAATATATCTGGATTTTGCTGAACAGAACTATCAGTTAATTTTCAAGTTTCTAAATTTTTAATTTTCTAAACATTTATATACAAGATGAATAAATTCTAAAATCTCCCTTATACAGGATGTTACCAAGTTGACGCCTCTTTCACCAGAAGTCATCAGCAGACAAGCAACAATTAATATAGGTAAAAAAAACCTTATAAAAAAGAGGGGTGCCTTAAGGTGACTCTTTGATGCTCATGCAGTAGCAGATGGTGCCTATGTGGTAACACTTTAAGAAATTTGTACAGAAACAGTTACATAGTAGTTTCAGGGACTTGAGGAGCCCTTTTGACTTGGAAAGCACCAATTTTACTTCAGGAACACAGTTTAATGGTGTGGGGAATAGTTGCTAAAGCAAAATTTGTTTTACCTTGAAATAAAGGATTGAAATGAGTTTTATTAAAATGCAAAGATCTGTTCATTGGGAGCACGATTTCAGGTCTTGTTTAAACAAAAATGATTACAAATTCCATGTGTATACCATATGGACTTACTGGCTGTGGAGAATTTGGGGCAATTGTGTATTGATTGTAGTGGAGCATTGCACAAAATTAAACTAGTTTATTAACAAACATTTCCTATTTGTAAAATGCAGGTACAATTGGTCATGTAGCCCATGGAAAGTCAACAGTAGTCAAAGCTATATCTGGAGTTCATACTGTCAGATTTAAAAATGAACTGGAAAGAAATATCACAATCAAGCTGGGTTATGCTAATGCAAAGGTGAGTCATCACTGTAAATGTAGCAGCTGTGATGCTAATATATTTCAGGGGGAATGTAGTATTACAGGTAACTAACCCTTGAGGAATTAAACCTTTTTTCAATTTTAAAAAATCACAGATTTACAAGCTGGATGACCCAAGCTGCTCTCGACCAGAGTGTTACCGATCCTGTGGAAGTAGCACCCCAGATGAGTTCCCTACAGATATTCCTGGCACCAAAGGGAACTTTAAACTAGTCAGGTAACTGCTTAAAATTACTGGAATAAATTATGTTTACTTGCCTTTGTATGAAAACAGGATTGAGCAGTGAGCTGAACGGATTCTGGCAGACTACACATTCTTAGATGGGGCACTCCTGGGCTAAGGCATTGTGTAAACTGAATTCATTGGTGGTGATGAGCACTCCATGGTACAGCACAGCTGTGTCTGCTGGCCTCAGCTGCTTGTAGGACTTTGAAGTTAAATATTGCTGTTATTAATAAAGTACATTTTAAACCAGGCAGATTGAGAACTAATGTGGACCTCACCAACATATCTGTAAAATCTCTTTTGGAAGGATGATCTTTGTTGAACTTTTTCTTCCTAAGGGCAGAGTTTCCAAAGTTTTTTAAATGAATATATGAAAACCTGATACTTAATGTGAGATCAGCCTCTCACTGGAGGCCAAGTGTTCTTTATTGACTCGATTTCTGAAAAAGTATAGCACAGTCCTTATGCAGCGGTTATATGGATCTGCACAATGATTGCTGAAATGAGAGTAGTCATGAAGACTGTTGTACAAGATTCTTGGTTTGTGTTTATGATACAATACACGTGGTGCTGTAACCATGTGTCCTCCTTTTCTCAGATTCCCAGAAGAGCACTTGTACTAAGATTAACTTCTGTTGGAGTGTGACAGGCAGGCAGTCATTTGTTTCACTATTGTGAAACAACTGGTTAAAAGCTTTGCATTCTTTACCCTGCCGGTTTTTTTCATCATCAGCAAAACACCACATTAGTCTCTTGCTTTTTGGTGGCCTGCCACTAAGAACAAGGATTCCTCACTAGATAAGTTCAGGAAAGAATATAGTGAACTAACTATCTTAGTGTGCACAATAAAACCATGAGGTTGGAAATGTAACATCATGTCTGTAGACAAATCTTTGAAGTGCAGTTATAACCATATAATTAAAGATGCATAGTTTCCAAAAATTGAAAAATGGGAGGTGCCTTTTAAAAGAGTTAAGAGAAATCCCATGTGGTATGTTGGGGTTTGGGTTAGTAGTGGTGGGTCAATTTGAATTTGGGCTTTTATTCTGGTGCATTTAACTCTAATCTAGTTTAGAGTAAATTGGTGAAATATTAGAGGTACTTAATGTGGACATGTGGTATTAAATCTGAAAACTCAGAAATAGTATTCAGTAGCTGTTCAGTAGCATTTGTGTTCTTTCAGAACTTTTTTGAAAATACTATTTTAGGGATACTTTTAACTTTTTTATCTGGCTAAGTGCTGACATAAATCAGTCAGAGGAATTGTTGATAATGGGCTTTTGGATTTCTCTTTCACCTTCTCCTGCAACAGGCATGTCTCTTTTGTGGATTGCCCTGGCCACGATATTTTGATGGCTACCATGTTGAACGGTGCAGCA